TCAAAGAAATGCTGTTCATTACGAATGCTCTCAAGCAAGCAACTGTGACTTCTTCAGAAGTTCATTAGCGTGAAATACCTTAATAACTCAATCAGGAAAGCTGTCACAATGTGAAAGTGTTTACATTTTCAGTTTTTCCTACGAAATAAATTGGAACTTTATCCAATTGTTTTTACACACAGTGCTTCTAAGGATTTTGTTAAATGTGAATATGGCTTCATCCCTTATTCCGAAGGAACTTATTCATAAGTATTAATGAGTAGTAAAATGTCCTCAAAAGGATATCAGTAAATAAATAATACTTAATCATTGTGTGTTATATCAAATAAAATTATTCTGTTAAGGAATTGTACTCTACCACAGGGAGTAAATTCTGCTGTTGTGTGACTGAACAAATTCTATGAATGTGTGCGTTGTTTTGATCCAACAAACTTCCAGTATAACTAACTGGAAGTAGTTCATTTTCAAATCCCAAGTGTCTCTATGATTTTGATGAAACACAGTCTCTAGTTTTTCAAGTATTGGTTTGGTTGACAACAACAAACGACGGACGTCAGTTGGAAGCTTTTACCTGTACACCTCTTAACATCAAAAAGACAGTTGCAGCGAAGAAAATTTTTTTTTGACGAAGTCATCATCTGGGCTGTATATTCGTGTATTTATATCAAATGGATGGGAAAGTTCCAGAATAATTTCCGGTTAAGGGTCAAATTAATACAAATTACAATTAGGAATTAGAATGCCATAATAAACAGGGGGACGGATAAAACTCAAACAAAGTAGCATAATAACTAAGAAGATTAACATTGTGCAATTGGGGGTTAGAAATGTAGAAATAAAAACAATAGGCAGGAAGTTTGGATAAAAAACTTATGTGATGAATAATTGTTTATGCAATCAGGGATTAAATATGTAGAAATAGTAAAATGACAAAATAAACAGGATGAGTGGATGTGAAAATATGGCAGTGTAGACAGGGATTAAGAAAAACTTAAAATAACATGAATAAACAGGAAGTTTGGATAAGAAAGGTAATGGGATAGTCACTATTAAAAGAATTACCTGTTTATGATGGCCATGGCAGGGACATGAGTTGGACGTATTTCTTTTAGATACACAGCGTGGGTTTGAGGTTTTGGATGGCTAGTGCCTCGGTTATACTCAGATGTCTTAATTTTACTCCCTTTGATAGGTTTGATTGAATCTTGTATATTACTTTGAAGGATTTTTCGACAGGCGCTGAATGTCTTGAGTTGACCAGATGTTCTGTCACTGAACTGTATACACGCTTTTGGTCTCCTTTTACTAGCCAGGCTGGGCAGTGTTCGCGAACGCGTTTTCCAAGTCGGCGCATGGTACGGCCGATGTAATCAGCTCCACAAGAGCAAGTAAACTGGTATATGCACGTTGAGGTGGCCCAATGCGACAGCTTGTCTTTCGCTTTCTGGTTAAACAGTTTCTTGCAGGAAAACATCAGTCGTAGGCTCGCGGAGAAGTATGTTTTCCTCAGCGATTTAGAGAGGCGTTTACGAAGGATTTCTGCTTCAATATCACCTTTGAATTCTAGATTGAGCAGAAGTATTTTCTTTGGAACGGATTGGACTTGTTCGGAAGTCTTCTTAGATTTAAGGTTCTTGTCTATGAACCTGGGCGGGAAACCGTTTTCTATCAGGGTTTTTCGGAGATTACGCAGTTCTTCTTCAATCACATCCTCGCTGCATATCTTCCAAATCCTCGAGGAAAGAGCGTACATCAGGTTCCTCTTTCTGCTTAGGGACACGAAGCTTTGAAAGTTGATGAATTGTCCATTCCATGTAGGCTTTTTGTACATGGACCTTTTCAAAGAGTTGTTGTCGTTTCTTATCAGATGGACGTCGAGGAAGTGGAACATTCCGTAGGATTCAGTCTCAAGTGTGAAGTCGATGTTTGGGAACAAACATCGAACAATCATCGACTTTGAGTTTTAACTGCCCCCCTGTTTATTATGGCATTCTAATTCCTAATTGTAATTTGTATTAATTTGACCCTTAACCGGAAATTATTCTGGAACTTTCCCATCCATTTGATATAAATACACGAATGTACAGCCTAGATGATGACTTCGTCGAAAAGAAAATTTTCTTCGCTGCAACTGTCTTTTTATTCTCTTAACATTAAATGATGTGCATTGAATATCACAATATCGAATGGTGACAGTGAGAAGTTAGTTAGTTAATATCGACGACATTCGGTTATTAGGAGATAAAATCAAGCGGTTTTCTGAAGTGCAAATTTAACTTGCTAGCATAAAGAAAGCACACAAAATAAATGTTAGTTGGAGTACATATTATCCAATCACTCATACGTGCACAGTTTCCTGATGCTGAAATAAATTCAGATTTTGTTTGCAAATAGTTCAGACAGTGTCACTTGACAGTTTATAAGTTCATAATGCTTATGTAGGTAAACAAATCGCTGAGTACATATTATACATTTACCAATAACTTCATAAAATTAAATAAACCACCAAAATCAGAATAAATAAAATATACTACGTTACTTCTACCTGTCTCTGATAAGTAGAATTCAACCAGTTTCCTCTTTCAACTAAACTCTTCATATGTTATGCATACGAGCCAATGGTTGTCGTGGCCCAAGTGGTCTAGTGGATAACACTTTGGCGTTTGAAACTATGGGCACTGGGTTCGAGCCTCGGTGGGAACACCATCACTCACTAGGGATGCAAGTATATCCAGATGACGAGTCCCAAATAGGGCGAAATGCGCATCCTGGATTCCACTGCTAGTCACCATCCACCAACTGACTTCAAAAAAGCATTATATGTTATTTCACTTTCGATTCTAAGTCTAGTCTCATTCTTACATAAATATTATACATTACGCACCTGTCATAAGCGTAGTTTAATTTACTTTGCAAAAAATAGCTTGTTCACTTTAAAAATGCATTATGCAAATTGTAAATTTTTTTCAGGTGAAAGCGGAATTATGCAAACAAACAGAAGTATGAAGTCTAGGAAAACATACATAATTTAAGTCGGAAAGAATTGACGATGATGTTTGTAATTTAAATGACGTAATGATTAATCTAGCAATAATAGAAAGGATTTGTAGCTCAGATGGATTATTTTGATTTGCCTGTAATCTCTGGGCTTCACAATTAAAATAGCGACAGTCAAATGTAAGTTCATTTTACAGAAACTAGTTAAGAAGAGGAAGAAGAAGAAGAAGAGAGTTTAGACAAGAAATAATCTATAGTTGTATTGGTCAAGGTAATTTATGAAATTATGTTTTGATCATTACACCTCATTATCTAAACGACATTACTGTATGTACTGTGATTTCAAAACACACCATCCATACCTTTAACAACTGTATATAAATGAAGTTGCTGTGCCCTATAATGGTAGTGTCATGGTCTCACTTGTAATGAGCAGAAAGTAGGGGACAGTAAAAAAGAGTCATCAAAAGGCTTGATCAAGACAAATACACTCTTTTCACTATCAACAATCAATCAAAGAACTACTGGTAGGTTACAAGCATTAAAAGCACCGTTTCATCGTAGATTTAGGCTCTGCACTATTATACACTCTCAGTCACCAGAAAGAGAACTTCACTTGCCAGACACGTTGTTTCGAGAGAGATTTTAGAACAGACACATATCATTAAGCAAGAATACATAGAAGGTAAATTACTTTTTCATATTGTGCACCAAGAATTTATGTCCAAACACATAATGACCTATATACGTACTTAGACAAACTGATACATAAACAACATGTACAAATAACCTTCAACCTTAGTGCGATGATAGATTAAATTAATTTGTCATTTTTACTGTTTCAGTACCTAATGAAAAAATCGTCTTTCATCAGACATGACAAGCAACCTCTACAATCTCCTGGGACGTTTAAAATTTACACTTCTAATATGTCTAGATTTTAGCTGTTATCAGCAGAACTAGATAAGAATACAGAAAGTGACATTTAGATACAGTAACTGTCTAACTTCTTTTCAAAACTTGATCAACACTGATTACATTTAAACAAATCTATGAAATTTGAAGAACTATTGAAACATAGGATAATTATAATAAACAACTTAGAAAAATCAACAAACTAATCCTTACAGAGAATGACATGAAAATCCACGAGATAAAATGCTATGATTGATTTGTTCACCCTTTAATCAGTTTACGTCCTCATCATATAGTTTCCTTAAACGGTGCATATCTTATGTCTTTGATTAGAGAATGTGTAGTAACTAGTGTCACACATCTAGTGCTGCGTTTGGTTCAGACTGAATTCTATCCTTATATGTAGCCATCGTAAAGTGGTAGAATACCCACTGTTCAAAATGTTTTAAACGTTTTAGCCACAACTATCTCCTCTCTTCACATGATTTCAGTTAACAACACTAAATTCAAATTTGGGACAAATACCTAGATTTTATAGGATTTTGCTTTACGCTAAAGTAAAATTAATAAGCAATGCCATTAATTACATATTTTAAATATCTAATTACATAACTATTCTGTAGCTTCTGATATATCTATACTGAGTCCTTAAGTACCCACACACACACAAAAATCGATTATAATTTCTAAGCAATTAGTATTTCCATAGCTGTTAACCGTGCTTTTTGCATAATTTAAGGTGAAAATTCGGTTAGTACAGTATTGATTATTCCAGATTTTGAGAATTATAGAATTGGTGTCCTTATTGTAGTATTTAAACAAGAGAAAAGATTATTTTATTTGTATGCATTACGATTCAAAATACCAGAGAATTCTAAAACAAACAAAACAGTTCCTCTTAACTGCTTTAGATACAATTCTCACCTAAATAATGTTATATTGATGTACCAAAACATGTTAGAAATATCGAACATCTGCTTTATATAAACATACCCCCACAGAATTATTTAGGTTTCTGTCCCACGTAACTATCATAGCCTTGACTTAAACTCAGTGTGATTAATTACCCAGAAAATAGATTCACTCACTTCTCTGTTGTGATAAAGGTACGCACATTCGTGTTGCACTATTAGGAAATCTTGAACACTTTACAATATCTGGCCATCCAAATCCAAATTGTAGCATTTTCGGTAGACAGTTTCGTCGAACATCTTCACATAAATTTTGACATGGGTGTATCAAACGTTCTTGATGGCCTTCTACACAAACTGGTGCATATAAAGCACATAAGAATTTTCTTAAATCTGGATGACATTCAGTCTGAGCTAAGCTCATCCATACTTGTGACTGTTCTACAGCTTCTTTTAGATCTTCATGCTGTAAATAATTCGGCAATACCATGACGTCATAACCGATATTTTGACATAATGACATATTTTTAGGAATTGGATAACATCTTTGACTACCGTAACCATTTAATAAACGATGCCAATCTGCATAGTAATTTGTTGGATCCAATGTATCCATAATTGGTGAATATGCATCGTGGCTACCTAAAGTGTTATCATCGAAGAGTAATGATGACGAGGTTAGTGGTGGTGCTGACGATGACATCAATGAAGACGATGATAAGTCCGATGACGGCATGAAAGGCAACAAAGATGATGATGATGATGACGTTGGTGACAGAGATGATGAGTCATGATCATTAAACAATAAATCATTATTCATATAATTTCCTTTTGAATAATCATCATGCTTTTCAGCATATTTTGAATTCCATGATCCTAAAAATGATTGTTTTGAAGCACCAGATAATCCAATTCTTCCAAATGTTTGCAGAGGATAAGAATAAATTGTACTATTGACAAAATAACATTGGAAGATACTTAAAAATATAAGAATTTGCACATAGAATAAGTGTGCAACACTACTCATGTTTATTTGTCCACTGAATAGTAATTCAAATGATGACTACAGTTATGCTGTAAACGATAATATCATCACAAAATTCTCGCAAACAAATACAATAAGGAATTCATATTTTTGTTTTCTATTAAGGAGAGAAATAATTATTTTCTACTAGGAAAGAAAATTTCTTCACTTATCAGTAGTTGATGTTTGTGTAAAAATGATTTAGAAAAAAGGAAAAATAATTCTGCTTCTACTTTTCATCATCTTATACTATTGAATCCACCCTTTAACAACTACGCATTCTATTGTATTTAAAAATGATCCATTTTACGATAGGATTATTTGTAGGCTTTATCCAATCCCAGAAAGAAAAGACACTGCTGCACATACGTTTACTTCTTCAGAAGACAAATTAAACAGAAAAATGCAAATATGATTTGAAAAAAAAAAACTGACATGACAATGTTATGTAAGATACCTTGGTGATAGGAAAATTTGTATGTAGACAAGAAAGAAGTGAATAATTTCGTTTGTTCTCCCTCCATCAGATACACACACACGCACACACACACAAACGCAATTTTCACATTCTTCTTGAGACATTTTTACCCAACTAAACACTGTATTAATCTTTCTTTCTTTATTTTTCACCTCTACATTGCTACTTCATTTACCATTAACTCTTGTTCTAAAAATTTTTATTGCACAAATTAAAAGAGAGAAAAAACTAGCACTTCTGTAAATTGGCAATTGTTTAGGGAAATTTTTTAAAGTATGTCTTCCTTTTAACAAGGTAAAATCACGACAGGATACAGAAGTATAATTATAACAAAGGTTTTCTCTTCCCCTACCCCTTACCCTCCAACCCTATCCCCATCGTCATCAAAAGGTATTGAAAACGTCATATTATTATTGTTACTACCACTGCTAATACTAATACTTTTACTAATATTGTCATTCGATACTGGCAACCATCTAAATCATGCATGTCTGCGCAGTAGCTTTGCTTGCCTCGGTCTATCATCCTGCCTTCTACTAATTTAGATCATATAATATACAGAAGAATCATTTCACTGTTGTGTAGACAGAATTATTGTTGGAAAATAAGTAAAAAGAAGGCAGACTGATGGTAGTCATAGACGGTAGTAACCGAAAAACAACAACAATGAAGGTAATAACGGAAACAGTACTAGTGATTAATTCTGTACAACTTAGTTGTAAATTATCCTCGAAATGACTCGGATTACTTAGTGTTTATTTGTTAAGTATTCTGCAATTCATTGTCACTGTATTGTTAAACACAGCTAGTAAGAAAACATGTTTTTTTATCAAGGGGATTCAACCAACATTAGATACTGTGTTCTGTCTGAGAGTTGACGATGGTTCGAAGAAATTATCTCCAGTGTTGCCAGAATGAAGTCAAGAAGTACTAGTGGAACAATTTGCATTTTTATAGAAAGGATGGGATTATCTTTGATTAGCATGGTGCATAGATAAGAGGCAGCATCGAATTTAAAGAGCTATTCACGGCCTGATGGTATATTGAAATCTTTTATGTAACCTGATGACTGACTGGTATAGGGATAAAACTTGGGCACTGTGGTAGAGTATAACTCCATTATGGATAAGATTTTATTTTGATAAATCACTCAGTGTTGTACAGTAATATTAACTGATGACGCTTCAAGTACAAATTATTGCTCATAAAAATATCAAATCACTCACACAACTTTTTGCTTCATTTATATACATGAGTAAAATTGATTAGGCATTTGAATAAAATCAATATAAGATAAAGTACATTCAGAAATAATATTAGTGTTATCAATCAAATACAGTCAGATGGGAAATAAAATGTTTGTTACAGTAAAAATAAGTAACTTGTTAGAATGTTATAATGTGAATTGAATACATTTTAACACTATTTATTATCCGCCGATTTGACTGGTAATAATATCTTCCATATCTCTGGTATTTGCGTTGAGTCACTTCTATTGAACGTGTTGGGTGTAGATTCTATGAACTAAGACTCAGTAATCAATCTCTCTCTACTTACCTATATTACTTCTTAGAATTTTAACACTCTTTCATCCTATCGTGTGTGAATGCATGCAATGCAATCGCTGGGCTTTTTTCTAAATTACTTATGTTCTCGGGATCAATCATTCTAACATTGGCTAAATTCTTATGATCTCATTATCTGACTACTCCTCATCTACCAGTTTGACCTATGTAGTTGACCTCACAGTCATTGCAAGGTATTTTGTAAATTATATTATTTTGTCTAATTGGGTCAACAGGATCCTTTAACCTACAGAGCTTGTCCCTGAGTGGGTTTGTAGGTTTAAATGCCGCCCTAATTCTTGCTTTATTGGGAATCCTACATAGGGTCTTAGATGTCCCTTCCTTATATGGTAAAACTGTAGATGTCTTATGTTCTCTCTTATTTGTGTTATCATTATTAGTTTCACTATTAGTTTTATTTTGCTTTTGACCTTTCTGATCTTCCTAATGAATTTTGTAGGATAGTTATTTAACACCAACGCTTCTTCTATCTGTTTCATTTCATCATTTAGGTCTTTTCTTGTGCTACTTAGTGCTATGGCTCGGTTTGTTAGACACTTAACTAAGCCTGCCTTAACAGTTAACAACGGATGAGATGAATTAAAGTCTAAATATCTATTAGAATGCCTTGGCTTTTTACAAACACTAGTGTGTAGTTTGCCTTCTTCTATTCATTTTATTTTACAATCTAACATAGCTAATTCTCCTTGTTCATCTTCCGATTCAAATGTGAATTTTATTCCCTCTACTAGTGAGTTTATATATGTGAAGAAGCTAGAGATATGTTCTGTTTTTAACACTGTGAAAGTGTCATCCACATATCTCCACCATATTTTTGGAGTAGGATCAAATGTATTAAGAGCAGTATTTCCCAAGCTGTCCATAAAAATATCTGCTATGATAGGGGATATTGGTGATCCCATTGCTACACCTTCTGTTCATCTATATATTTTGCCCTGATGACTGTATAAAACCTTGAATATTTCGACACTTTAAAGTAAGAATACGAAGAATTCCTAGAAGTAATCTGTGACTTCAAAATGTATGCTATATGTGAATGTACTAAATGCTACATAGAAATGTTCGGAAGAAAAAGTAAGGTTTATTAGTGAATTCAAGAACGTTGTAGTAAAAAATAGTTATTTCAACCGTGTAAATCGCATTCCTAGGAACAATGAAACACACTTGTAGAAATAAACTGGAACAGTGAACTCTTTAATCGCATACTTTTATCATAATCTTAGTACATTATCATGTAGCAGATGCTTTATATTTTGAAAGGTGAACTAGAACAAGAGATCACTGTCTCATGGTATTACTGCAATTAGAAATATAACGGAAACCAAATTTGTTAGGCATCGCCAGTAAATTATGATGGATACTTTCGAACCTAGATTTCGTGGCTATTAATACTGATCAATAAATCATATTTGCAGTTTTCAGGAAATTCATATGCCTTCGGCGATACTAAATCTTGTCACTCAGTGTCAGTGTTAAGGACGTTTGCTAATCTGCCTGACGCACGTGACCATAAACTAGACAAATCGTCTACGTAAGTTCTTCACCAAAAGGCAATTTATGGTTAAAGTCAGATATGATAGAGATTTGTATCTGAATTGGATGAAATTGATGTAGTTATGTTATCCGAGCTGAATGTTTTAATCGCAAAGCGCAAACTTCGTTATGAAATGAGCCTTAAGGAATTTCCATGAGTTTATCAACCAACTCTTCCGGTGACTTTGAATGTGACTGGATTTTTTAATCCGCTAGTAATGGTATTAATTATTTTGTTAACTTGATAGTTAACCTTTTGTCCGTATGACTTTCTTTTTATTGAATGGTGTATTTTACCTATGTCACTATGTCTGTTGATTGCAGATTAGTCTGAATTACAGGCTCCTTGAAATCCCCTAGTAGTTTTACGATTTACTTTGTGTAGAAATTGTACATTATTCCAGCCAAATTAGTGTCCAAAATTGTCTGCATGCATTGATATGAAGAAATGGATATCACATCATTCAATAGCCAGTTTATGTTCGTGGAAGCAGTGACAAAGGGACGTCCACTTTAACTATATAATGTTTTTTGCAGTTATTGAAATTTTGCTTTGTAGATAATGTTGGTTTTGTCTTCTTCAGTTGCTGTGTAGTGCAGACAGAAGTGATTTTATCGGTTGAGGATAACTCCTATTCCAAAAGGTCTCAATAATCTTGCAGTGATTTCAGAGGTGTTTCCATATATGATCAGACGATCTTCTTTATGCTTTCATTAGATAACTTAGAGTTGGATTGAGGGAACAGATAACCATAGTTGAATAGACTGTGAATATAGTTAGTTTCAAGTAACACAATGATCATCTCGTCGTCGGATTTATACGGATCTAAAACTGTTCAAATGCTGGTGGAGTTCTCGGCGCACAAGAACATATCAACATTGATAAACGAGGATATACATATACATATATGGCATAGAAATTTTTGAGGCTGTTGACATACTTTTTCATACCTTGATTTTTAAAGTCACAACAACAGAAACCAGAAGCCTAGCTAACCTTTTTATGATACTAAGACAGAGCATTTATCTATATACAGTATTAAATTCACTATTTTGATGTGGTTGTGTTCTCTGAGCTGGATAGTTAATTTGCGAAGCTTTCATCACCCTACTAGGTGACATCTTCAGCGCATACTTCAATTTGAAGTGAGATTTTAGATTTCTCCACGAGTTTATTAATCATCTCTCCTGGTGACCTTGGACGTGATTGGTTGTTTTTGTGTGTTTTCACACCTTCTAGGCTACTTGTATTGGAACTGATTGTTTCTTTGACTTGAACTTTGACCCTTTGTGTGTGACGTTTCTTTCTTATCGGTTGATAAATTTTGTCTATCTCGATGTGTCTATTGATTGATGATTCACTGGAATGCCAAGCTTCTTCTGTCTAATATTTGAACATTGTCCCAATCTAATTGATGCCCATGGTTGTCTGTATGTAGTGATATGAGGGAGTGGATGTCATGTCTTTTGACAGCTAGCTTATGTTCGCGGATACGAAGATGAAGGGGACGTCCACTTTGGCCACTGTAGTGTTTTTCGCAGTTGCTGCAATTTATCTTGTAGATGATGTTGGTTTTATCTTCTTTCGCTATTGAGTCTTTTGGTTGACATAGAACTAAGTGAAGTGAATTTATCAACCGATAAGAAAGAAACCTCACACACAAAGGGTCAAAGTTCAAGTCAAAGAAACAATCAGTTCCAATACAAGTAGCCTAGAAGGTGTGAAAACACACAAAAACAACCAATCACTTTCAAGGTCACCAGGAGAGATGATTAATAAACTCGTGGAGAAATCTAAAAGCTCACTTCAAATTGAAGTATGCGCTGGAGATGTCACCTAGTAGGGTGATGAAAGCTTCGCAAATTAACTATCCAGCTC